TTGAATTATTTGCTAATGTTCGTTCAGAATCTAAAGTAAAAAACGTTTAATTTATTTTTTTTTATAATAAATTTGTTTTCCTAACCTTGTTTTATATTTGTTATAGAAGTTGGTATACTTGTTCTTTTCTTATATGTATTCATTTTATTATCTGTTGTGTTTGTTTTTAATTTATTAATAGATGTAGTTGAACTAGCTAAGGATTGATTTGAATTTGATAAGGATTTTAAATCTAAGAAATTATTTCGAGATATAAATATATTATCATTAATATCAAATGATAAATCTGTTTGAACGGATTTTGTTGACTCATTTATTGATGATAAACGACGAATCATTTGTATTTGATCACTTATATTTGATTCAGCAATACTTTCATTATCCAAATCATCGGTATCAATATCATCATCTTCATCATCATCAACTATACTTCCTTCACTAATTGTCATTGAACTCTGTGATTGAATTAAAGAAATCTGTTGTTCTTGTTGAAGTTGATGTAAAATCAATGAAACACTATCTGTAAAATCAGCTTCAATAGTTTCTGGAGCTAAAGAAAAATTATTAATTATTTAAAAGATATATGTCATACATACGTTCATCGATTGCTAATGGTTGATGGTGTATGACTGGTCTATAAATAATTCTTGATTCTTCTGTTAGTGTCATAACTTCCTAGAATGACAAAAATTGAAATTTAATTTTGAATAAATGAAACGAACATAATCATCGGTGCTAGTTGAATCATCAACTTCTTTGACGATTGATATTGGTTGCGTAGGTGTTAATGGACTTGGAATAATATCAGGTAGTTGAATATGTGTTGTAGAAATTTTTACAGGAATTTCAATTCTATTATTTACTGGTGTCGATGATGTTATTGTCATTGCACGTGATCCTGTTGGAGGTTTCAAACGACTAATTGTTCGATGTGTTGGCTAAATAGTTGAATAGTTTTCAAAGAATTTTTAGTATTTTAATAAATACATACTAATATACGTTCTCGTGGTGCTAATACAACTTTATCATAGGGTACAAATACTCCATGATTGGTTTTACATTGAAAATATCTTTTTAAAGAAAAAACAAATTCATAAAATTTCTTTTGAAAATTTTGATTTCTATACCGAAAATCGTTCACTTGTCCATCATGTTTACCTTCGGGTTCATCAAGTTCAACACCATAGAATAATCCTTGAGCAAATTTAACTGTACCTTTATAACGAAGAGTACCGATTTTAAGGCCATTTACTAATACACGATCGCCAACTGTAAGTGATATTTTACTAAAAACAAAATCCGACTAATATTAAAAACAAAAAAGTAAAAATTATTCATTAACGAATCATTTTGTACACCCAATGACATGGGTATTGGGATAGATGTTGGTATGTTACTTGATCCAACAACTGTTGTTGATCGTAATCGTAAGGGTAAAAATGATTTACGTTCAGTAGCAACCTAGAATATGTTAAAACAAAAAAAATTGATCGATTATATACATACATACAAAGAAAAGATATTTGATGCATTTTTTCTCTATTGAACACTAGACATACTAATCTATTCGCTAGTAGAAGAAGAGAGTATGTACTTAATCACTGCATGTTCTCTTTTTTTTATTGGCATGCATATGAACAGAACAGAACAGGCGAAAATCATGACATCGTATGATTCAATACATATAGGTGAATAACATTTACATTTTCTCTGATTATCATTGTCATCATCTTATATTTCTCGTTCTTATTAGTAACAGCTTAACTATGTTCATCTTTAATACGATAGATGATTTATAAGTAACATAAGAATGAAATCTCTCTCTCTCGACATGAAGTGTTATAGACAGCTTAGATATATTTAAGTATAAGATATGTACATATATGTTGAATAAAAAATGTTTTTTTTTATCTTACCGGAGCACTCATGTGAATGATTAAATGTGAAAGATAATGTAATGTAATGAATGTTTATTCACAACACGTTATGATCACCGGGAAAAAAAACGTTAGACCTTGTCAAGCACCTCAAGAAATGAAGCGTATATAGGTAAGAGTCGTTCTCATTGACAAATCAGTTAGTATGATAACAGGATGTCATTGGTAAACAGACTAAAACCAATGAATAAATATTTCGAATGAGAGCGCACTTAGTTAGAATTATAATTATGTTTTATTACAATATATTTTAAATTAATTAACAAGATGATAGAGTATTGATTATTTTTGAGAAATTAAATCTATTTTTTTATTTTAACATTGAGATATTAATGGTTATTATAAATCAAGGAAAAAACATATGCTTATATTATAAATATGTCCTTGAATTTTTGTTACTAAATTAATAGCTCATTTAAAATCGATAGAATATAAAATACGACATTTATTTTGTATTATATCTTTGTTTTTAATCAAAAATTAAAATTAATAACAGATGAATGTATTTTTCGTAAAACAGAAAAAAAAAGAAATGCATATGTTCTATTATAATTCAAGACAGAATGTAGATTAATCTAAAATGATTTCAATTAGAATAGGAATAAAAAACATATGGCAATTTATAAGTATAAATACAATGAAAAGAAAATCTTCTCATCATTCCTAATACAAACAAAAGAATAATCGACGAAATGTTATCTTCTCAATTATTTAATTTATTCATTTTATTTGGATTAATAAATTATTCTTATGAATTCAATGTGAGAAATAATCATAAACAACGTTATAATAGAGATGCAGGCAGGGGAGAAGGAGGAATGATGTTTAGTGGAATGCCAAGTGAAAACGGAGAACAACACGAGAACCAATGCAATCAAGAAATCGAACAAAATAAACGAAGTATAGATGATGTATGTAACGGACTAATGCAATCTACTAATGAGATGGCTAATGTTGGTTCTCAAGATATATCATGTGGAACACACTGGACACAAACTCAAAGTAGATTACGTGAAGGAATTCAAGTAGTTATGAACGCTTACCAAACATTTATTACATTACATCAACAAACATGTCAATCAATTGAAGCTTTTGCTAATGACATGATTTTGCAATATAAACGTGAATTAGAGGCTATTGATCAAATGTCAGCTCCCACAGAAAATACTGATATAAATAGTGACAGTTGGAAAAACTTTTTTGTTAGAGTTCCAAGCATGATAAGTTACGCAAGAGCGCATCAACAAACACTTAGAACAGCTGCTGATTGTACTGGAGATTTAATGACAAATACTGTAAGTTTTCGTCGAACAGTATTTCCACTTCAACAAGTTGTTCCAATGAGAGTTATTCGAATTTATCAAACTTCCGGTCCTGCACAGAATTTATTTCAAAACCACAATATTAATTGTAATGAAGAGTCTGGATACAACGGTTGTCATTCCTGTGCAAACAGTCTTACGAGATTAGTACGTACTTATATGAATCCAGCATGTAATGCATGTCCGCAAGCATCAATGCAACCGTCGAATTACAATCAATTTCAATTTCGACTTATGAAATAATTTTAATTAATCTTTCAATTTTATGTCTTAAAATTTGTTTTTATTCAATGAAATAAAAATATGATATACTATCAGTTGATCCATACTAAGAAATTTTCTTCTATCTATATTTTATTATATTTTTATTTCAAAAAAAAAAAAGAAATCAATCTGTTGCAGATACTTCAGATATCATAGTCCACCATCCTGGAAAAATTTGATCTATAGGAAAATCAAATTTAATATATCGAGCATGATTTGTATGATTAAGTCTGATAAATAAACGTTGAGCATCTAATATACGTTCACCTATTTGCATTTGTCCTTGATTACCAAATTCACACCAAACTTTACCATCTAGACTTGTATGAACTACTATTGTTGTCGGTAGACTTATAGCCCAATCGGATTTAATTAATGCCCAAACAGATGTTTCACGAATATTTCTAACCATTAATAAATCAACAATAATCGTATGCGGTTCACTTTTTAACCATCCGGTAATTGGTCCCATTATACCAGCTATAAGTCCATCGGTAAGACGAACACCATCATCAGGATAAGAAATAGATGATGATGATGATAATGATGTTGACGTTGGTGATGTAAGAAGATAATAATGAATTAAATTTGATATATCATGTCCATTAACAAATGCTTGTATTTCATCAATCATAAGCCAAGAATTCGGTTGAAATTCTAATGTTGCCCAACGAAGAGAATTTGAAAATTTAAATGACAAAATACCACCTTGATTTGTATTCGTACCACCGGTTATAATACGACTAGTACATGGATAACTTTTTACAGAGCAATCCGATGAACTATATGGTGAGAATGGTATACAATCAGAACTAATAAGTATACGTGCTATATTAGGCCAATTCACAGATGCATATGTACCACCATGTAGACGAATTATAATTTCATCTGCATAGATAATTCTATTAAAGTCAAGTGCAATACGTACATATGAATTAGAATTTAGATTATTTGACCAACCAATAGACATAGTTGATTGCCATTCACCTGTTGACCATTGTTTATCTGTTAGTAAACCACGACTAAAATTCGATAATGTTTGATTTGTTGAATCACCATATTGAGGATTATAAGTATACATTGAAGGTATTATACTATATGGTGCACCTGTACTTGTTTGAAGTGCAATACCATTTGGATTTTGTTCAATAATAAGATCTTCATTGGTGAGTGAAGGTAAAAATTGTGAACTTATAAATGATGCTTTTATTGATAGAATTATTTGTGATGGTAACAATGAAAATGGTAATAATGTACTAGTCCATTCTTCATCACGCCAATTTTTCTCACCAACTTCAGTACTACTCAATATTTTCCATGTATAAGAATTATCTATCTTAATATATCCTTCTACAATAATTCTACCAGACCAATTACTATTTTTTGGGGACCAATTAATTCGAATACCTTGTGGTATATTATTTGATGAAATATTAATTGTTGCTTGAAGTTTTTCATTCGTTGTCCAAGTCCATTGCATATTTGACATAAATGTTGGTTCAATTCGAAGACCAAATGTATAAGTTCGAAGAAGCATACATGCTTTTTTCGATCGAGCAATGCTATCATAATTTCCAAGAAAATAAGCTGTTGGTACATATTGATACCCATCAATAAAACCTTGTGCTAAATAATTTTGTAAAAGTCCTATTTCATATTCTGTTGATGCACCTTGATTGACTTCAATTTCAACACCTAAACCATAATGTTGAGCAAGTTTAGCAGTTGCACGTAGTCGACCAGCATTAAATGTTCCTTGCATTAATGGTGATGCAAAAGCATAGCCAGGTTGTAAAATAGCTACATCAATACCTAGAGTTTTCCAATTATTCCAATTATTTGCATTTGTATATGGAATCCAAAGTAAACGTAGTTGACTTGAATGAACAATATCACTTATTTCCCTTATTATTTGTTCGTCTACACCAAAACTAATATCTTCACGCATGAGATAAATACCCCATAAATATAATTTTGAATATTGTTTCATTTGTTCTTGAATTGTATTGATATACCATTGAATAGCTTGATAACGATGATTTTGTATAGATAAATTTAATGTTGATGAAAATGTTTGTTGTCCATTTGAATCTATATAAGGTAACATAACAATAATTTGTAAGAATTTATTTCTTGTTTGTAAATGATTTAAAGCTTGTGTTAAATTTGATAGAATACCATATGGACCTGAAAGTTTACTTTCAAGAAACCATATCCAATCTTGTTGATTTGTTGAATATGCTGTTAAAGAATTTGATGGTGTACGTTCAACAATAATCGTAATTGTATCAAAAATAACATTATAAGAATCAATTGTTTCATATGAACCTGTAAGCCATAACATTAATTTCTCAGGTGAATGATTTCCATCAATATAGAGTAATGCATTATGATGAAAACCTGCTTGATCGATAGTTGGATAAGTTCCATTTACTTTATTGATATAAAAAATGATAATAATAAAAATGAATGTATTCATATAACATATCATAGTTTCAGAACGATTGTTAGATTTTTATTTTGATATTAAAACAATATTTACATAGATTGATAGTTGTTTTTTTTTGAAAAAGAAATATGATACAAAGCTTACCGATTTATTTAAATGTAAGTCATCACTTTAATAATAGATTTTTTGGTAATCCCAACTTTGATCGAGAAAGAAAAATATTGAAAGTTAGAAATATTGAAAGGTAAAAATGTCGAAATCAAATTAGACAAACCATCTTGAGGGTGTGGGTGTGGGTGATGATGTGGATCAGGGTGTGGGTGAGGGTGTAAGTGAGGATGAGGGCGTGGGTGAGGATATGTGTGAGGGTGTAAGTGAGGATGAGGGGGTGGGTGGAGATGTGTGTGAGGGTCTAAGTGAGGATGAGGGTGTGGGTGAGGGTCTAAGTGAGGATGTATGTGTGGGTGAGGGTGTAAGTGAAGGTGTGGGTGTGGGTATGAGAGTGGCGAAATATAGATGAATGTCTGTATTTACACCCATCCTCAAACGTCTTTCTCTGTTTTTCCCCTTAAGTTGTTTCGAGCACCCAAAGTCTTATCATTTTCATATTTCAACTTTTTTTCTTCGATATTTTAACATTTCGACATTTTTTACTTTGATGTTTTTGTGCTTCGGCATTTTTATACTTCCACATTTTATTTTCGACCTTAGTTGGGAGAATCGATTTTTTGATCTATTTTTATCATTTTTTTATACAAATGTATTTAATGAATATAATGAAATGAACAGAAGAATAAATAGATTTAATTTCTTTTCAATAAACATATTAGATTTTAACATAATTATAAATTGTTTATTTAATATCTTGTATTTAAAATAAACTTGTACATAAAATTAACTCTATCCAAGAACGGTGATCAATATATTTCTTATTATCTTCGTATGTTTTTTATCGAATAAACATATGTTTTTTATTTAAAATATCATATGAAAATATTGTTCTCATTTGTAATTTGGATCATATGTAATGTTCTCTATTTTTGAGATTTTTTTTAATTTAATTTAGTCTATTCTAATAAGAAACAACATCTGTTATATATTAAAAACAAATGAAAAAAAGAATCATTCGATATCGTCAAGTATATAAACAGAAGTAAATCTCTTATTTTTTTCATATATCCTGCATTATCAACATGAATTGTATCGTATCAGCTATTTTAATTGTTGTTGTATTGAATTTAACTATTGAAAATCTTAGTAAGTAATAGAAATATATAAACATTTGAATATTAATCAAACTTTCTTATAAATAGATGCTAGGAAAATTGAATCATCATTAAACAATGGTCAAAAACAAATAATTAAACGTCGTAGTAAACGGCAAGATTCTTCTACGCCATTCAGCTTATATTCCTCTGCATCACCTAATAATAATGCTGAATCCTCTAATTGTGAACAAAATGCTGCAACTATCACTCAGAGCGGTGTGGAACTTGGGAGAAACATTAATAACGTTGAACAAAATAATTTTTGTGTACTCGGTAGCCTTTCAACGTCAACACTTCAAAAGGGTGGCATGTGTGGTCAAAATTCAAATTATTTGAACACTAATGGACTTGCAGCTCTTTCTGGTGGTCATGCGACACCTGCTCAACTTGCAGCAATCGGCCTATTTCCTGTATCATTTGTTGATGTCGATGGATTACGTAATGCTGCTTATTTAAATGGATTTGGTCAATCAACTACTCTTAGTCCATTAGGTATACTAGCAAGTCTTTTTGGTCATATTTTACCATCACAACTTCGACCATTAAATATATATCCATTACAAAATGATATGATGACATCAACTTCTCTTCAAAACGCAGGATATTTAAATTCAGATTGTCTTCCAACAGCACTTGGTTGTACTGCATCATATATTGGTTATTTGCCAAAGAATTATACTACATCAGCTTGTCAAACATCAGATGATTCTCCAATGACAGTAGAACGATTAGCCAATGCAAAATATATTCATGGCAAATATAGAACTATTACACCAGTTGCAATAGTTGCTATTATAAATGGTTATATTTCACGAGATGAGTTTAAAAAGTTGGGTTGTTATCCATTTGTTTCTGGTGATCAAACTCAGACATCTGAAGATGCTTCTCAAGACGATTCTCAAGACCAACAAACATCTCTTATTAGTGATCTTAAGCGTATTGGATATGTGAATTCAAATAATCTTATTAGTAGTGTTGGTTATTATGCCATATCAAGATCATTTTTTACAATTGATCAATTTCGTGATTTAAATCTTTGGCCATATAAAGGTGCACCATGTATGAATTCATTTATTGCTGCTGGTTATGCATCATACAGTGGTCATTTAACAACACTTGGTTTTTCATTATTACATGCTCAATATTTTTCATTCGATTCGCTTGCACAACTTGGTATTCATATACATGATGATTGTAATATTCATCATCATGCTATGACTTACGGTGGATTTTGCCACTCAACTTATCATAATATGCATAATACGGCTGGTACTGCTGGTGGTTATTCATCTAATGGAGGACGACCTGGTCAAGTAAGAATTTTATAAACATAGATGAAATATTAGAATTTTTACATTTAGGGTGGTCAATATCAATCAGGAGGATCATATAGTGGTGGTCAATATCAATCAGGAGGATCATATGGTGGTGGTCAATATCAATCAGGAGGACCATATGGTGGTGGTTCCAAGAATACTGGTTTTGGCAAAAATAGTGGTTCTGGCAAACATCGTGGTTCTGGCAAAAATGCTGGTTCTGGCAGCAATGGTGGTTCTGGCAACAATGGTGATCCTGACAACATTGGTGGTGCTGGCAATAATAATGAATTCGGCAACAATCCTGGTCCTGGCAACAATCCTGGTCCTGGCAACAATCCTGGTCCTGGCAGCAATCCTGGTCCTGGCGACAATAATGAATTCGGTAACAATCTTGGTTCTGGCAATAATAATGAATTAGGCAACAATCCTGGTCCTGGCAACAAT